AAGGGGATCAAATACTTATTTCCCACAGTTTAATGCAAATCAATGTTTATCTGTTATATGATGTCAATTTCTGGATTTACTCTCACTGTTTATATAAACCTACCATTACAATTACAGACTGTTGATTTTTTTGTAAGTGGGCAAACTGACAAAATCCGCAGGGGATCAAATACTTATTTCCTCCTCTGTATTAGGGTTGCCCTGGCGAATAATAATCGATTATTCGACCGAGCCCCCCCCCCGCGGGAGAGAAAAAAAAAACTCAGTCAAAAGGAATTCCGTTGTTTTCTTTACTGGAACATGTTTAACAGTACAAACAAAATAAACGAGAAATTAAAAAAATGATGCAGCTCCTTGAACTCTTTTTACCTGCCGCTTTGTTCATCTTTAGTCGCACGTGTGAGGGAGAGGGGGGGTGGGGGCGGGGTCGGTTGTAGCGTGCTGCAGCAGCAGTCTGCTCTGCACGCAGGCTTCCTCCAAGTTTACAGTAAAACAAACTGGTGGTGTGACCAATGGCCATTTACAATTATTAATACTATTACTATTATTAGCATTAGTCTATATTTTGGTTGAAACTAAGCCAGAAAAAAAAAAAAAAACATAAATAATAATAAAAAAATATATACGGTAAATCAAATCGATTTTTTAAAATAATATTCGATTATGGAGACTGTAACGAATATTCGAATAATCGAATAATCACTGGCATCCATACTCTGTATGTTTGTATTTATTCAATAAATGCTCTCACGTTGGTTAAGCGCTGTCATTAATAACAATTAAATGAATAAAAGCAATAAAGAAAAGCACATAAATGCACCAAACTATTTGAACGATATCAAAGTCTGTGTAAAGGCGATGCTGACTCACAGCGCTGCGATCTTGATGAACTTGCGGAGCAGCTGGACCCTCTTGGGCAGCGACTGGCACTGCAGGATCTCTGTTGCCACCCAGTGCTGCACCTCGCTGCAGCGCTGCAGAACCAGCTCCAGGTTCAGGGGGCGCCAGCGAGACTGCTCCCCGTGAAACACATAACACACAAACTCCACCTGCAGGACACACCAACGAAGAAGAAGACAAATGGAGCTGTTAACGATGAATTTGTTAGAGAAACGTGTGGACGCACAGAGAAACGATAAGCCGCAAAACATTTACAGCTACGGAGTCGCAGAGAAATGAACGGTCTCAAAGAGAACCTTTCCAAGTCACAAAGTAACTTACAGAGTCCCAGAAGAGCTTACATTGTTATACAAATATAATTAATATATTCATAGAGAAATTATCATTAAAAGTCACAGATTTATTTTTGCCCTTACAATTAATTGTATGGAGTCAATAGACAAATAGAGTCATGTAAATAAAAACTTGAGTCACAGATAAATGTAAGGAGTGGGAAAGTAATGCACGGAGTAACAGTTTAACGAAAGGAACCACTAAGTCATTTATAGTCACAGTATGACTCTGTATTAGCAAAGCAATCTACAGAGTTACAGAGAAACTTCAAGAGTCGTAAAGTCATTTGCAGAAAGCACAAAGTTGCAGAGTCATGATTCGATTCACAGAGTAACGTATGGAGTCACAAAGTCATTCACAGGCTCAGAGAGAAATATATAGGGACACAGTTGTAATGTACAAGGTCGCAACGTTATTTAGGGTGACCTAGTAATGTACGGAGTCTCAAAGAAAAAGAAACAGAATCTTATGGAGGTTTAGAGTCATACCCAGGCTCTCGGAGTAACGATCAAAGCCTCATAGTAATGTATGGATCGCAACTTTAGTCTTGGAGTCACTCCAAAAGTATAAAGAATTCAAATTATACACAAGTTTTTGTGTGGATTTAAAAACTCCGCTTGGATAAACTCTACTGTAACTGTTTTGTTTAGTAAGGAGAAGTGAAATCCACATGGTGGCGCTAGAAACCATGTCACTAACCTCGAGCAAGGCTCTGCAGATACAGCTCGATGAAAAGGAAAATGGAACAAACTGTTGACTAAAATGTGAACATGTCTGTATAATGAAACTGAAATAAAAATTAAGTTTAAGTAACGTTTTTTTTTTTTTTTTTAAATACCAATGATGTCAATGCAAATGATCCATTAACAACATTTTCCCCAAAACAGGATTTTTATGTACCTTTTTTGGCATTTTATTTTGGTACTTTAATTTGACATAAAAAAATAAGCTAATATAGTAAATCACTTTTATCTTAACAGCAATTTTTATTTAAAAACATGTGAAAATAAAAACATTTTTCCCACACTACTGACCTCGTGCACGCAGCTGAAGAGCTCCCAGTCGAACACCACCAGCTGGTTGGAGACCTCCTCGGCTGACATGTCATGGAGTTTGCTGTCCCCGGGCGTCCAGTGGATCTCCTCCGGGAGAGGGAGCTGAGGGGGTAGCAAAACACAACATACCTTTATCTTTAAAGTATTATCATTTACCACTGTGGATAACAAAAGTATTTAGACACAAAAGGTATTCAAAAAACAAAAACTATTTACAACAAATGCAAGTGATAGCTGGTGGCTGTATTTGCTAAATAGACCAATGTGTTCCTCACCAGTGACTCGAGCTCGGAGGGTTCGCAGGTGAACAGGTGAGTGTTGACTCCCAGCGTGGTGAACACAGCCTCGTCACTGGGACGAAACACTGCCTTCTCTGAAACACACAACACACATCCGTCAACATGGAAATATACACAGAAACAATTAAGAGAGCACTGCAAACATTTCCGTTACTGAGGTTTTACTACAAATAGTATGTGGGTAAGCTTATTATACACTTATTATTATTGAGAGTATCGTTGTCTTGGGAAATGCGTGTGATGAAAATAGTTTTTTTTCAATGTTTTACCTGATAAATCGCCAGGTGAACTAGCTAGCGTTAGCTGTTAGCAGCACAGTCCTGCTTAGCAAAATGACGTAGCTCACAGCTAACGTTAACAAAGGTTGTATTTCCTTACATTATGTCACATTGCAGCTCTATTCAGTAAGTGTAGTTTCACAGCAGTGTTTCTCGTGATGGAGTCATAGCAGCGGTGCTAAGGCACGCGGGCCCAGCAAAATGTGAGCGCGGAGCGCGTGGAATTTTTTTGTGAGTGCGCGTGCAAAGTGCGCCCAGCCAATATGTTTCTATGCGTCTGCCAGCACAAGAAAGGCTCTTGAGGTTTAGTACCTACAGTGGCAATGTCTCAAGATTTAGCAAAATACACCTTTATTGAACATACAGTAACACAAATACTACAAATATAATAATATATTATTATATATAATAGGTGGTATCGCTAGCCACTCCTAATTATTTTAATAAAAACAAAAATGTTTTAGCTGCGCCGCCGCTATTTGTATATGGGAAGCACTGCACAGGGATTGGTATCAACTTAATTTCCGGACATTCCTTCACCAGACACCAGAAACGTAATGGATCATCATCTAAATGTTCAGAGTTTGCGCCTGCTGACCTCCAGCCGACGTCACGGCCACCAGGATGAGGTTTCCGGGCAGAACCGGCTGGTCTTCGCTGTACTGGAGCTTCTCTCGGACCAGAGCCAGAATCTCTCCGACCCGACAGGACAGGCGGCTCCTGATGGTGACGTAGGAATGATCCGGAGTGTACACCCTGCAGAAGACTGGACGCACAGATATAGAGATATTAGAGCGTCAACTAGTGACCTATTATGTGTAGTGCATCTTAACAGAACAGGTGTGTGTGTGTGTGTGTGTGTGTGTGTGTGTGTGTGTGTGTGTGTGTGTGTGTGTGTGTGTGTGTGTGTGTGTGTG